TGGGAGTTGAAGTTCCATCCGCCTTGAATTGGGGGATTCTGGGAGTTAAAGTCCGTCCACCTCAAATTGGGGGATTCTGGGAGTTGAACTTCCATCCGCCTTAAATTGGGGGATTCTGGGAGTTGAAGTTCCATCCGCCTTAAATTGGGGGATTCTGGGAGTTGAAGTTCATATATCTTAAAGTGCTCCATACACAAACAGAACCAGATGACCCAGTAAGACAGGTATATCTTTTAAGAAGCAATTCAGACAGCCATTATTCTGGACTGGTACCGGGTCTCCTGCTTGAGCTGGGGGGGTTGGACTGGATGACCTCTGAGGCCCCTTCCAACTCCTGTTAGTCTGTTCATGGACAGGCGCTGCTTGGAAGTAGGGCAGTTTGGAGCAAGGTCTTAGCGGGTGGAGCGGACCAAAAGAGGTGTGCTTGGATTTTGGGGTCCAGAAATGGCTGAAGGTGCCAGAATTTGGCCATTGGGAGTCGTGGGAACTTCCAAAATTCCCGTTTCCAAACAAATTCAATTTATTTCCTTTTTTTCTTTCTTTCTTTCTCTCTCTTCCCTCCAGGCCATACCGTCGTCGGTTACGGCCTCTATTATTTTACCTACAGCACCTGGAAAGGCAGGAACGTCTACACCGAAGACCTGTACGTCATGCCAGAATTTCGGGGTGCGTTGCTCGCTTGGGGTGATGAGGGGCGGGGCAGGAGCCGGGCCAAACGGGCGAGGAATTATCGTTTAAAAAATAATAATAATAATAATAAATGGGTGCATGCGCGCATCGACACAGGTGTGCAGGCATTGGAAAAGCTGCCCTACAGCTGACTACCAACCTGTGGCTAAGCGAGGCCGTCATTAAGCGAGTTTTGCCCCCATTTTTACGAGTATGTCGCTAAGCGTGACCCCAGGGACGCTGCAACGGTCGTAAGGCTGACCCCCCACTCCCAAAAATTGTCACGTTTCGAGGAGATCAAACGGCCGTGAAATGGGCGAGGGACCCAGTGTTGTTTACGCTGGAGGTTAAGCAAACGCTGTGGCCATTATGCGAGCCCTGCCATTGTTAAACGAGCCCGTTGTTTGCTAAGCTGCCATTTGGCTGAAAAACGCAAAATACAGTCCCTGAACTGCGGGATGTGGAAAGCGGCCATATAAGCCAGTGGTTGCCAGCTGGTGGGATGGGGACCACTGGTAGTCCACAAGGAAATTTGGGTGGTCCACAGAGAAATGCCTCCCCCCCAAAGCAATTAATCCAGGCTACGCGGGAACACAAGGGAGGGGGGGGGGGAAAGGAGGGAGGGGGGGGAACTTGCCCCACTCGCCCCAGAAATGAGTCTTTGGGACCCTGCAAGGCCTCCTGCTCCAAGAGGCTGCGCCGGCACAACAAGTCTCACCAAGACTCATTTCTGGCGGAGTTTGGGGGAGAGAAAGAAAGAATTCTGCGGTTTCTGCTGTTTTCCTTGCAGGCAGCCAAAAGTCTCTCCTCTCTCTCTCTCTCTCTCTCTCCTGCTGAGAACGGAGCTGGAGATGGTATTGGGTGAGCCCACGGTAAAACGTCTCAAGGGGCGGTGTGCGGGGGGGGGGGGGTGGATTTTCCTGCAGACTTTTTATGAGGGGGTGGGATTTTCCCAGGGTCTCCGCTCTACCAGATTTAAAACGATGGGTTTGGTGGTCCCTAAGGTCCAAAAAGTTGGCAACCCTTGATATAAATGATGGCGGAGGGACGGTGGGGGGGGAAATCGGCTGCTACCGGTTCGCAATGGTTGAGGTGAACCGGTTGCTAATTTTATAATCAGTGCGGTGAAACGGCAAATCCCACCCCCGGCTTGCCCCACCCACCCTGCCCCTCCCCTCGCTGGAGTCTCCACACGGCCCATTTTGGATTCCAGGTAAGTGTGGAGACTCGGGTGGTTGAGATGTGCGTTTGTGTTTGTGTTTTTATTCCTCCGTACAGGGAAAGGAGTCGGGCAGAAGCTGTTGAGGGAGATTGCGAAGGTAACACAACTGTGGCTCCCCGCTTGCCAAAAACGGAAGACTGTCCCAAGTGGGGGAGGGGACATTTCTCTGGGAAATGGAGGGCGGGGGGGGGGGTGTCTTGCAAGCTTCCATCGCTTGGCTCCACAAAACTGGAGTTGTTAAAGGTGGGAGTCCCCTTTAAGACCTGCGGACTTCAACTCCCAGGATCCTTCAGCCTGCCATCTGGGTTGGGGAATTCTGGGAGTCGAAGTCCACAAGTCTTCAAAGTAGCAATTGGGCTCCTGGGTCAAAACTTGCGTGTGCGCTTGCCGGACACGCTCGCAGGCCGGGCGTTAGTCGTAGGCTGGCACCCAGAAGGCAATGCACACGCCGCCGCACCCTCCATGCCCCCTTCCCTGCACTGCGCCTCCTGCTAATTTTCAGCACGTTTGAGGCCTTTTTTTTTGGCCTCCATGGAGGCTTGAGGAAAGCTTCTGCAGGCTTTGCAGGACAAAAAACGGGCCTGTTTTGTCCCTTCCGGTATTTCCGGAAATACCAGAAGGGACAAAACGGGCCTATTTTTCGGCCTGCAGAGGCTTTCCTCAAGCCTCTGGGAGGCCGGAAAAGGCCTCACACCAGCCAGAAATCAGCTGGAAGGCGCGTGCATGTTTAATGGCTGTGGCTCACGTGCCAGCATACCCACCCACCCAATTTCTGCCCCTCTCCTCCCAGGGAAGCCCCTCCCCATGGAATTAAGCCCCTCCTCTCTGCCCTTCCACCCTCTCAGATTGCCTTGGAGAAAGGCTGCACCCAAATGAGGCTGGGGGTGCTGGACTGGAACCGCCCAGCCATCGATTTCTACCTCCGGCGAGGGGCGGTTGATCTGACGGCTGCCGAGGGGTGGCATTCCTTCCGGTTTGAAGCCGAGGCCCTGAAGCAGCTGGCGTTGGGCGAAGCTGGCCCAGGAGCCGGGCTGGGGTCCTCGAGGCCGTAGGGTGGCGGGTGCCGAACTCTGCAGGACGTGGTCTTGTTCCAGCCCCTAAGGATCCTCCCAGGCTGACTCGGGATAATATACAAGCAATAAACTGGCCATTAAAGTCTACATTTCGAATAAGTGCCTTGGAGAATTCAGAGTGTTCTTTATTTTAGTTTTAGAGGAATTTAGTTTGTTTTAGAGGAATCTTTTACTCTGTTTTATGAAACGGGGTGGGTGGGGGTAAGGAGGATGGATAGACAGACAGACAGACTGACTAACTGACTGACTAACAGATAGATACTGTACATAGATAGATGAGATAGATGATAGATTGATGTAGATGAGAGAGAAAGAGAGAGATAATAGACAGACAGTATGGATGGATGGGTGATAAAAGGAGTGGATGGATGGAAGGATAGATAGATAGATAGATAGATAGATAGATAGATAGATAGATAGATAGATAGATAAGATGCTGTACATCATTAACATAGATGAGAGATAGATGATAGATTGATATAGATAGATGAGATAGAGAAAGAGATAATAGTCAAAGAATGGATGGGTGGATGAAAGGATGGATAGATAGATACCGTACATGATTAATAGTGTTAGGTAGGTAGGTAGATGGATGGATGATAGACAGGATGGATGGATGGATAATAAAAGGAATTGATAAATAGGCATAGATAATAGAGACAGGTACTGTAAATGATTGATAGAGATAGATGATAGATCAGATAGATAATAGATAGCTACTGTACATGATTAATAGAGATAGACGGTAGATGAAAGATAGATGATAGATTGGGTAGATGAAATAGAGAGAGGGAGAGATAATCGAGGCAGGATGAATGGATGGATGGATGAAAGGATAGATAGAGATAGATACTGTTCATGACTGATAGAGATAGTTGGTACTGTGGATAAGATAGATGGATGATAAATTGATATAGATACTCTAGGCAAGTAGGTAGATGATAGACACAGGATGGATGGATGGACGGGTGATAAATGAATTGATAAATAGGCATAGATAATAAATAGAGAGATGATAGAGGTACTGTAAATGAAAGATAGATGACACATGAGAAAAATGGATGGTATTGATATAGATACAGTGGATAGATAAGATAGAGAATAGGCAGGATGGATGGATGGATGATAAAATGGATGGATGAAAGGATGGACAGACAGACAGACAGACAGAGACAGGCAGACAGGCAGGCAGGATGATAGGATGGATGGAGGGATAAAATGATTGATAAATAGGCATAGATGATAAATAGGGATAGACAGATACTGTAAATGATTAATAGAGATGGATAGACAGACAGACAGATATGTATTGATGAATGAAGGGTTGCCATCCAGAGTCACCAAGAATCAGTTAGAGGGCCATATATATGTTTCCTTAATAAATAAATAAGACACCGTGTGCTGCAACCCCCCCACTCCCCCAAAGGGTGGAACGAAGCCATTGGTGCGAAGGCCCTGCCCAGGGAGGGGGCGGTCCCAGGTGGGACCCCCCCCCCCCCGGCCAGCTAAGCAGGCCCTTTTGGTGAACCCATGGAAGCTGCCCGCCGTGCCCCGTAGGCCCAGCATCCAGAGGGGGAGAAAAAAAAGGCCAATTTTGACCTTTATGGGGTGTTTTGTTTTGTCTGACGGTCGGTTTTATTCGCTCCCCGGGGGGTATAGCTGGATGACCTCGGGGGGCCCTCACTGCTTCTTTTCACACACCCACTTCAGATGGGCCAAGCAGAAGGGTGCTGCTCCACAAACCGTCTCTCTACATCCCGCCAGTCATTGGAAAGGGTGTGGGGGGGTGAGCCCAGGGGTGGGAGGGAGACAAATCCACACACCCCTTCGGTGGCTGGGGAAGGGGCACCCTGAGATCATTTAGTTCAACCCCCGGCCCGCAGCAATTCCCCCCCCCCTCCGATTTAGAGCAATGGGAACTGTCAAAAGTGAGGCGGCGTTGCCTATCCTGGGGAATTGTCCTTGCTCCAATGGAATGTTGGCTGAGGAATTCTGGGAGTTGAAGTCCGGATATCTTAAAGGGAATTCTGGGA